ATTAAATAAAGCTATAATGTAGTGGTGTATATAAATTAAAATAATGCGTACATGAATTCAATAGAATTCGCAAAGCAAAAGCTTTAATAAAGAATAATAACTTTTAAAACAGATATAAATATATCTTTAAAATAAGATATTTTTGTGATTATCAAATGTATGAAAAATATGAAACAAAATTACTAAATCTGATAAAATTGAAGATAATTATAAATTCAAACTAATGAATAAAATTATGAAAATGTAATTAAGAGAATATGTATACATAAACTTTTTCTTTTTTTATCTTTTTAATGGATAATTTATATATGCATAAAATGATATATTTTGTCTTATGTTCTACATTGTACAACATTTTTATTTTAATCACTTATTTGTGCATATGTACAAAACCTGTACTTGACTCACACACAATTACTATATGCAGCCTGATTTATGTTGTAATCGATATCTCGGTTAATCGCGGCAAAAACATAATCGATTTCTCTCTCTGTTAAATATCATTCGCGCAAAAATTTCCACGGAAAATGAAACTCAACGGCACGTGCATTCCGTAAGAAAAATTAACAACGGTTGTATTTTTATTCCAAATGAGGCAACTTGAATTCCGTTTCCATGTTGCACAACGTCGTTAAGAACAGTTCGAAACAATTCACGTTCATGCAATTTACCATATCAATGTACGGGTATTTTCTCTTTTCTTATTTCTTCGTTCATAAAAGAATCTCGATAGATTCATTTATATTCGATTCGTAAATTGTATGTGTCTTTAATTTTTTTGACAAAAATATATCTTCTCTTTTAAACGTTATTAAATCAACATTTTATATCAAAATAGTACGGACATAACGAATCTGAAGTATTTATTTGCAGAATTTTTTAACTAGGTCAGTAAGGTTTCCTAGGAACATAAATGAAACATAAAAGTGCATACATTAAACAATAAAATTCATGATGAATAGTAGATTGAATTTTGCAAACATGCTGAAAAATATAGCGCTATTCATTAAAATAGAAAGAGAGATATTGTTATCACGATCGTGAATGTGAAATAAGTGATTTTGGTGAAAGCGTATAATTTTTTTAGTTTTTTAAAAAGTCTGGTGAAATACACACAAGATGAATATACAATAAATATGTATACAATATACTGATTTATATGCTGAGATATGCATTGTGCAAAATATGAAAGTTGTGAAATTTGTTGTGAATTGTAACATATACGTAATCTTTTTTCGCATAAAATTATTAAATTTTACAATATAAATATTCGTGCAAATTATATGTAGGTACATTTTTACCGCGTATAAATAAAAGTTTCTTTTGTCATATTTAATAAATAAAAGTAAGAAAAAAATTATAAAATTAATATGACAATTTAAGTTTAGCAACTTTAAAATAACAAACTATAATATTTAATATATTTCGTATAAAATGTCATCTTGTTATTATCATTTACTTGAACGGTCTTAAAGTCTTGTATCAATTATAGTTGTCAAAGTGGTTGGACTTGTTCATATATAATTTCAGAGATGCGGATGAGTGGATATATCATACGCAGTTTTTAGTTACGCACGTTATATAAATACGACGCTTTCGCTCATTATGCGGGATAGTTATTTCGGATGGACGCGAATATCGCGATGTCGTGTAAATGTTGTAATAGAAAGAATTACATATTTCGCACACACATGATTACGTATCGCTTGAGAGATTCTCATTCGTTTTTTTTTAAGTGGCGAAATTAAATTTCTCTCATATCCTTGAAGCTATATCACGCAATGTTGTATAATTGCTACAAAATTTATTGCATTAGATTTGAAATAGTGAAAACTAAAATAAACTTGACAGAAGATGAGATACATATATTTTAAATTATGTATATGTAGCAGCCACACCGTCATTTTTCATTTATCGAGATTTTAAGATTTAAATTTATTTTATTCGAAAAGGGGGACAAGGTTTAAAAAATGTTTTATTTACTAGAATAATTAGAACAATATGGTTAAAATTATATAAATTGTATTTTAAAAGGAGAACATTTAATAGATGTATTATTCTATATATATAATGCTATTTTATATTAGATTATAAATTCTTGACAAGCATAAACATATGCCTCTGAATTAATAGCAGCACACATTAACTCGGTTTGAACAACAGCCAAATTCTCTTGTTTAATGAACTACTAAAGCACGTTTGCAAATAATGCACCACATTATTCACACAAGCTCTTGATTGGTCGGCTTATTAATAGTTATTACATTAATAACTTGCTAATATTCATTCAATTTATTTTACCTTTATTAGTTTCGTAAGAACTGTACTCTTTAAAATTAAATCTATCTAGTAATTATCTCATATATGTACAATACGTAGTAACAATCAAACTTATATATTCTTGCAATCAACAATTATATCTGTAATTAATTTTATATTTATATTAACATAATTTGTGTTAACACATTTACAGCTAGGAATGCCATTGCAATTCTGTTAAAAATTAAATTATCTACTAATATCGGAGATGCTAATCATTTTATCGATTTTACTAATTGACATTTAATTGAGACTCAAATCAAAATTGTTTTGCAAAGCGGGAATATTCGAGGTAATCGAACGCGTAACGAGCAATAAATATGCATTTATACTTTTACTTTTCATAGACGGATAATCATGCATGACTCATGTATTATAATCGGGATCGTACAAAATGTGAAATTAACACTACAGTTTTATATTAAATATTAAATGCGTATTTATTACTTAATTTACAATTTATCCAATATAATTGGTATTATTCTTATTATTATATTTCTTAAAAATCTACACCCCCTTTGCTTTTAAGCTTTCATCTTTTTTTCGGTAGGAGGAAAACATTCGCGCAAATGAAGGAATACTTTTGCCCTCGTATCTTGTAAATACACCGGCCTGGTTACGACGTAACATTAATATCTGCAAATTTTATCTTCGCGAGAGAACCTTAATGTCACAGAGACCTGCAAATATCGTCGAAATAAAAAACAAGAATACGCAGATCACGTTGTCGCATAGCGAAAGCATGTAGAAAATAAAGTGTAGCTTTTTCTTTCTATCTCTGATTCCGTCGCATGCGTCGTAAAACGTAATATGCTCTTCAAATGGTCATAGGAATGACTTTGCGAGAGAGATCGCACAAATGAGCGCTCTGTGAACTGGCGCTCGAAATTCGCCAAATAAAGCACAGCCGGAGAGAAAACGCATGGTTGATGTAATCGAATTATGTAATTCTGTTACTGAACTGTATTTGGCATTGTACACTTTGCAATGCCAATGGCGTGATATAGTACTGATTAGTATAGTTAGCATAATCATGAAGTGATTCCCAATTATAGATGTGTGCAGTAATCTTATCTCAGCAATCATTCATTTCTCGCGAAATATTTATAAGCAGAAAGGAAGAAGTAGGACTGTGTCATGTTTCTAAAAAAAAAAAATTAAATTCTGGAAAAAAATATATATATATTTTAAACATATTATAGTCGAATAAAATAATCTTTACGCAAAACTGCTTTTAGTCGCCTAAAGATTACATGGCTTTTAATACTTGATATTAGGCCACTAGCATTAGCTCGGGGAAATTACAAGAACGTATATGATTGTTATAGAGGTAGGAATACTGTGTCTACATGAATAGAAATACCATGTTACATGGAGATTGAATAAGTGCGTTTTATTCGCCGGCGGCGATCCGGATTGCGAGAAATGAAAACGGAATTTCAACATCCGGCGCGGTTCGCCAGCGGCGAGAAGCGTCTCCGACCGGATCTTCAGAAACGTTCGTTCAGTCGCGTTATCAATGTCAACGGAATATCCGCGATGTCAGCATCGAAATTCCGCTTACAAAAGAGACTCTGCTAAATGTGCACAATGGCGTAGCTGTGTGCAATCTCGCGAAAATACGCGCCGAAGAATATACCCTACTCGAAAGTTAACTTAGGAAAAAATGGAACATCAAAATTAGCCTCGCAATACAATCTCTTACAATATAAATTTGTACATTTTATTCGAAACCACCGTTGAGGATTTAACTTACAACCGCTAAATATCGCTTAACGCTAAAATGAACTAACATGAGAAATTGTATATATGCAATTTATATTCTTCTTATTATATAGGATAATTTTAAACATACGTTTGGCTTTTTTTTTTTACTTGATAAATGAAATACAGATTTATTACCGCGACTTGTAATTTGCTTAATTATGTTGTATGTGTGGCGAGCTCTTTGAAGTTTGACAACTTTGCCAGAGGGAAAAGAGTCACGGTTTTTTATGGCGTGGGGCGTTTATATTTATCTTTCGCGACCTCGATTGTGTCGGAAGGAAATTTCGTGGAATTAATTAATGCACAACGCGAGTGCGCATACGTGAAGCGAGATCAGCGATTGTGGGTAGAGCTTTTAGTTGAACCGTAAATACGCGACTTGGAACTCTGAAATCGCGCAATCAAAGTTGCAAGAGTATTTACTCGTAAGAGCATTAACGAGGCCGAAACTATTAAATTCACCTACGCTTATCGTTTATTAGTGACTGCAACAAAGCTTGCTGCGATGGCACTAAAAAGGTGAGAGTTTTCAAATTACAAATAATGTAAATTATAAATGTCCTACATATAAAAACATTCTTTTAAAACTTTTTATGAACACATGGAAATTCTACAGAATATAAGAGGGAAGCAGTAGACTTAATAGAATACGCTTACCACGCGTTTTCTTCAAAATTAATACTGGTATATCTCTATTAGCTCATGATAAAACGGAATATTCAAACACATTCGGTATAAATCATTATTGTTTAAATTAATTTTTTTAGACGTACGGAAACATTCTACTTTATTAGGAAATGAACAAGTTTCGAGCTTAATAATCTTAATCTTTCATTTCCTAACAAACTAATTTTCTTATGGCAAAGCCTCTCTTTTCTCATGAAAAGCAGCTTTTAATTATTATTATTATAAACTTAAAATTTTCCGCACTCGTCGCCGATATTTTTTATGGTAGCACCGCCGAACATCCTTACGGGTGTTCTGCTCCAAGAAATCAACATTAAAGCACCGCCTATGGGAGGACTACCTCTGCCTAACCGGCAGCGAACGTAGGACAATTTGATTAACTGCAGACCCAAAGGGTCGTTCGACGGTTCTCCGGATAGGTCGATTCCTCCGGTCGAGTCATCGACAAAGGTGATCGCGTTTCTACGAATCGTTCTCTCTTCCCGCGTATCATTGACGATATTTAATCGACGCGAATTCTGCTGAGAGATTTTGCGGGACCAATTAGGACCGAGCTTAAATTGCGTCGGAATCCGTCTGTCGAGCGCACGCGTCGCTCTGAGATCCGAATCACGCCTCGCTATTTTCATCCTGATTGCCTGAGCGATGAAGGGAAGCCTGGCCTGATCCGTAGTTCCATTGATCGATCGGAAAAAGGACCTTTGATGGCCGTCGTCGAGAGAATCGAACGCCGAGGCCAGCAAAAGGTTAAAGCCGAAAACCGAACCCTCGATGCCCTCTTCCAGCCCCTTATCGAAATCCGTGTATTCTTGACCCAAGACGATATCGCCGCCTCCCGGAATCACGTAGTCGATCATCTGCAAGATAGTCTTCTATTAACAAGGAATGGAAAAAAATCTCGCAGTCTCAGGGTGTCTAGCGGTCAGGGAATTTATCTGCATTTTTTCACATTGTCTGAATCATTTGACATTTTTTATTAAACGAATATAAACTTTTTCTTGACTCCCGGCACGCTAATTTTCTGTATTAAAGATCGATTCATCTACAGCGTGTTCGTTAATTTATAGTTTCATCGCCGTGTTATTTTATTTCAATGTGTTTGATAGAGACAAAACTAAAAAAATTGATACAATATAATTAAAAAAGGTGATTATTTAAATAATTTAAGGTGACATATTTGTTGCGCAATTATCGTATATAATGCAGATTGTATAATTGATTTAAATTTTTGTTTAACTTTTTCATTGTCGACAAAAATAGGATTGCATGATTTAATATTCAATATAGATATATGCAAATGATATATGTGGAAAAAATAATACTAAAAAGTCAGGGAATTTTGTTCATTGAGTCTGCTGGACACTCTGAGTCTAAATTTCGATTCGAAAAATGGAATGTACAGATATCTTAAAGATGTAGGATCTATACCTCCTCGAGATGACCTTGCAACTCCAAATGTCCGTCCAGCCACAAAGCGTAACGACCGACCCGGTTCTCCCAGCTTTGACATATGTGGTACCAGCGATGCTCTTGTATGCGAACCGACCTTCGAAATATCTCCACCCCGCCGATTTCCAGGTGAATGCTTTTTCCGCGCGACGATATCCAAGATCGAATCAAACGTTCCCGCTCGTTCCCTTTGATAACGAAAGAGGATTATGTTTGCACATTGCTTTCTCGGTCAAAATGCAACGAAACACACAAAGCCAGAATTTATGCACCTGGCGTATACAAATCTTAATAATTTCATATGATTTTAGGAGATCATGTTTTTATTTCAGTTTTTTATGGTGAAATAAATTTTTCTTACACATTTATAATTTAACATCGAAGAACAACTTTTATATCTCTCTATCAATATCTACATGCTCGGAGATTGTTCTTCTCCATATAGCGTCATGGGATATTATTATACAAGGAGGTGAGATTGAGATTTTTGTGGAACAGTTTAACAAAGTGACATGAAGGACAGCTTTCTGGGCCGCTACGTCATAAATATTCAAATTCTGTTTACATCGGCCATCGGAGAGTAGTTCAATCTCGCGAGATTTTGTAATTCGACCAATTAGCGTTTCATCAGGGAGAGACGTGGCCTAGCATGTTTAATTCTCACACATAAAAGGAATAATGCCGCGAGGCAAAGTGTCCATTAACATACTGTTAAGTTGCAACGACGAAGTAATACTCTCAAGAGACGATTTTCCGCGAGCGAAGATACTTTTCCCGTTACGGCTCTTTCCGCGAGAAAATGACTCTTGTGTAACTATTCGTTGAATACCGGAGTGGATAATAGCGGCCCCACGTAAGAAAACAGTCCTCGTTACCGTCTCAAAGCGGTTGAGACAATTTCGAGATAAAAGTGGGAAACGCCGAGAACATATGTAGACGCCTCTTATCCCTCGTTCCCAGATATTACATTTATTTTTATGTGATACCACATAACAATATGTAACGCGCGCATACTATTTTTCACCTATTTATAGGCCATCCATTTACAATATTTTTTCATTAAGAACCAATTTTTCATTTCTTATAACACGTGAAGACTGTCTCCATTTCTCACATTTTTATAAATAGATGTTCTATAAATATAACGCACATACAAATTGAAAAATGAAAAAAAGAACAGTGAGACTTGCTCACAAGAATCAGTAAAAACTTAATTCACAACATAAATGTCGAAATGAAAATTTCTCATTGATAATACTTACTCGAATACGAGAAGATTGAATGTGGATATTCGAGGTTCGTTGACTTTATCCAAAGGCAGAATGTAAATTCATGAATTTCCGGCACGGGTAATGCCCATCTGAGAAACTAAAAAGTGGGGATAATTAACCAGAACATCGTATATATATACTGCTCCACGCTCCACTATCTAATTAGAGCGACATTATGTACAAGGTGTCTTAGGTGATTACCACTTTGCTTTATGTGTCTATACTTTTTTATTTTTCATTCTTTAAGCGATATAAAATTAAGGCTTCTTTAAGAGTTTCTTCTTCAAACTCTTGCAATATTTAGGAAGAAATTTTATTGAAAACTTAAAAATTGATTAAAAATAATTTTAAATTTAATTTAAAAATTTTAATGAAACCGTCTTATTGTTAGTAAAATTATAATTCGAGAGAATTAATTACAAAGTATAATCAAGAAGTGTCGAAGGAAAATTAATTTGTGCACTAAATTTTTTAAAAATTAATCGAGGGGACTAAACATGATAAGAAAAAAGCAGAAGATTTGAAACACCTTGTACATGTAGAAACGAGATTATCACGATCGACATGTTTTGTAGTGAGCGATGAAAATTAAGCAATCAGTGTGAAACTAATTTCTTTTCTACGTTATGGAATAGCTCTCTTTTTCTCACGTAATCGATAGAAACCTTGCTATTTTCTATGCTTCGTTGAAAAATGTGTATCCGTTATATCCGACAACGTATCGATTTAGCATGATTTGCCCCCTATTTTACTTGGCTTTTTACTGTCAGTATGTGTTTGAATACAGAATTACGAAATCAATGCGCAATCCATATCTAATTTACTTGGTTAATCGAGCATTTCAGCGAAATTGTGGGAATTTCGACAGAAATACCCCAAAGTCAAATATTTTTATTGTTAACTGCAAGCTTAACAATGCAATACCTGTAATTCAAAATTTATTGTCGAAATATCTCTATTCTATTTCTTTATTTTTTTTTTTATTAAACAATTTTAATTAAATAAAATTTGTCAATATTATTAGTTTCAAATAAATGATTTATACTTATTCGAATTCAAGAATTTTTGTCAGCGTAAAAAAATTCGACATAAATACTTCCCTGAAATGATTTCTCACCTGAATGTAACCCTTTTGCGTTAATTCGACGCTGTGCAACGGGATGTCATTCTTCTCGACGTGGACGAGAGCAGTCGTGATGCCCGAAATCGCCGCAATAAGCGAGCCTAAGAGGACGAAGAACGAAAACGAGGGGAGACTAATTCCGAAGTTTGTCGCGAATTTCTTCATTCTTATCTTATCATCACTCTCGTTGCGTCCGACTGTTATTTCTTTAATTGCCTCGCGGCGAAAGTTCGCCGTTTAGTTTTTACACCACCTTAATTCCCTCGTCTTCTTTTTTCACGGGATTTTTCTTTCTCTCTCTCTCCCCTTTTATCTCTTGGCTCGCAGCCCCTTATTTTAATCTTATTCCACGTCTATCCGAACGTGCTCGCGAAAAGAGGATTGTCTTTCGCCGTTACATCTGCTCAACTTTTCTCACCAACTTTTCCTGCTAATACTCTCTCTTTTTACCCGCGACGATGCAGGCCTTCTTTTTCCTCTCGTCCACCCTTCCTGTCAAACTGCGAAAAATTATCTAGCATCGCCTCTCGTCCGTCGAATCTCGCACTTGCTGTATGGATTTCTTTTTTATCAATCGGGAGATCTTTTTACTTCGTTACTAACTTATATATCTTCCGCGATACGTGGATTTTCTCCTTATCCGCTTCTCTTGAATTTTTTTGAAACTAAAAACTTTTCGCGGCGTACGCTTCCTCGACACTTGACATATTTGCTGAAGAATGGTAAAGGTACTTGGCTGCGTACTCTCTTCGCTGGATGCGCGATAGCTTTCACGACTGAAAGCACAAAACGCAGCGATAGCCTTCTCTCCTTTCTCATTCGCGCAATCAAAAGCCTCGACAGACCTCCTCGTTATGGTCCTCGTTTGATGATCTCTATAATTAAAAACACGTCGTCTAAGAGTAGAAAGACGACCCTTCAATGGCCCACTAGACTTTTCTTCACGTCCTAGGCAAAAGAAGTATATTTATCTTCCCTTCTCTTCACATTCGACGTATGATCGATGCCTGGAAAAGCAATTATTTTTTCCTTTCTGCTTATTATCGCTGATGAGTCGTGTTTTGTTTACCACGAAGAAAGATACACACCAAAGAGAGTAATTTCCCTCCAAATCTCCCGCTCGTTAATTAGAGCGCTCTTATTTCGATCTATTCTCTCCGGAACCGATCTCCGGATAGATCTGTCTCTTGCTCTCCTTTTTTGGCTGACCGATTCGTCCGGCGAGGCGACCAACCGGACTCGACAACGGTAAACAACGACTAAAGAAATCGATGCGAATCGGTTGAGCTCGAGCACGCGAGTACGGAACGAAATCGGTAAGAGGGAGGACCTTTCGTGGTGGCAGTCGCGAAGTTAAGGCGGCCTATTTTGAGTCCACTGCGCATGTCATTTTTACCACTGTCGTCGCCCACGTGTTCAATTGTGGGATCGGTATGCGAGAAATGCGCAACCGATATCATCCGATTCCAGAATGTATTGACTATGCATTAAGTCGATCTATTTCAACTACAATATTTATTACCAGTGTTTTTCAGTCGACCATCCATTCCATTAATTTTATCCGAGCGCAAATAAAAGGCAATGAGAAAGGTGTGGAGATTATTTGTTTGAAGAATAGTATATATTCCGATTTTTGTGGAATTTTTAATATACAGATGAAACGCACGAACAATAAATTGTTATCGTATTATTAAGAAATGCACAATCAATTATCTGATGATGATGAGATGTATTGACTGTGCATTAAGCCGATCTATTTTACTGTACAGTATTTATTACCGTGTTTTTCATTCGACGATCCATTCGATTAATTTTGTCCGACACAAATGAAGTATCAATTAATGAAGCAGGCAATGAAAAAGGTGTTGAGATTCTTTGTTTGAAGAATAGTATATGTATTCTTCCTATTTTTGTAGAATTTTTCATACATAGATAAAACGCACGAACAATAAATTGCAATATTATATTGTGTACGCGCAAAACAATTTCATTTTCTTAAATTGTTATACAATTAGACGCGGAATCTCTAACGTGCATTCTACACGTGCACACATTTTACTGTATGAACGATATGGGAAAGTTAATCTTCCGTGGAAAGTTATCGAGACACGCAACGCAGAATAAGCGGGATGATACTGCAAATTGCTTAAACATTCCATGCCGCAAGCAGTAGCGGAATTACAAACGCGCTTTATTGCGCGCGTCAACATTTCAGAGTGCATTTTCTTGAAAGTTAAGCAGGGAAGAGTTCAAGGCCTCATAACATAAACTCACGTGCCATTTAACAAAAGGATACATGTACGGTAACAAACTTGTATTCAAGATTTTTAAATAACATTTTTTTTGAAATCTTAGAATTTCAAGTATTGTTTAGTGGTAGAAAAGTAACTAATTTGTCAGTAATTTACGATGCAGTGACCACGAGGAATTAAATCCGTCATTAATCAGGCTTGATGAAAGTTTTTACGCCTCGGGAAGTCTATACGTAACGCATGCGTTAAAGTGTGATCGTAAAAACTCCCGCATGGAAAACACAGTCTGGAAAGTTAATATTAACGGTACCAAGTCTTGAAAACCTGTTGCGAAAGCGTTAGCCTTGGAGAGATTCTCGTATAACGAATTTACATGGATAAGAATCTACCTTGGCAATTCTTCTCGGGAGATAGCAGTCCCGAATAATCGTGGTAGAAATTTCAATTATCTGCAAAGATCCACATCGGATGTCGAAATTGTCTAGGTAGAAGAAACATACAAGCATATCATGCAACTGTCAAATTCATTTTTCTATCAATAAACAGGTATCTGGATACAATAATATTGTTAAAATAAAACGAATATTCAATGCCCAGCAGCTGTTATGAAAAATTGTCGCAATATAATGTGTCAGAAACACACAATTGGGTACTTATATATTGAAAGATTATTCATTGACAGATGGGTCGAATTATCGCTACCGCCATCTTGTCGGTGTTTGAAAAATGGCAGGAACGATTCCCCGGATTATCTCGGGGCGAGTAACTCGATTTTGTCCCTTTTTTTTCAAAATCATTTTTCTTCTCTGCTCGCAGACGGCCAAGAACTCGACGTCCGGTAGCGGATATTACGTGGGCGGAAGCAGCACCCTGCCGCGCGGCGGATCTCTCTTAAGGGCGTACAGCCCTGCGGCATCGAGCGTCGGAGGACCGAACGCGACGCCGACGCAACCCAAGACTCTCACCACACCAGGTATGCGGATGTCCACGTTCTCCTCCTCTTCCCTGTTCCTGTATGTATCGTCGCGTTATATATAGACACGATGATGCGCAAATTAATTCGCGACTGACGAATTTCATCCCCACGAGATCATCGGTGAGCGGCCCAATTAAGTAAACCAAAATCGTATTTTCTTTTCTCCTCTCGATATGTCGAATTCATCAGAAATATATTAAAAAAAATAAATATCAATTTATGAAATATTTATAATTTATAATATATATATATATATAAATATATATAAAAATATATATGTATATATACATATATTCATCATAAATATATAATATATAAAAAATAAATATGAATTTATAAAATATTCATAATTTATAATATATTATGTAAATATATATAACAACTAGCTTAAGTCAATAATATGTGAAAAATAAATTCCTTTTTTCAAATGATACATTTACAATGAAGGTAGTAGATAAAATGTCACGCGTTCTTTTAAAAACTACGTTTTTGGGCCGCTCATGACATTGATGAGAATTTATCGCTTCGCATTCTCTGTACATTAACTTCATACCCGCATCCAATGTTCTATGTACCATAGAATTATTGGAACATTCTTCTTCTGAAATCTGCGCACTCCCTGCATAACTTCGCATTCCCTTAAATTCCTTACGTTAAGTTGACCAGGATAATCGTGAAATCTTCAAAATTACAAAACAAAGATAATTAACAAATTACGATTGTAATATCAAATTTAATTCTTGTCAAAGTTTTACAAAAAGAAACTATAACAATTTGATAATGGATTAATATTTCTTGTTAATCGAAAGAGAATTATATTCGACTATTTGATATATAAAACAAATTATAACACTGCAAAATTCTGGTTGCCTTAATGCAATTAACACGCTTAAATATCTTTCATTATCTGATCATATTACAATTTCAACAATCTTTATACGACGTATAAAGAATCATAAATTCTTTTAATCGTTTTTCCCCCAAAAAATTGGTCGAATCGATTATTAAATCAACTAAATAACAAGAGTGAATCAATTTAATATAGCACATAACGATGGAAAGATATTTTATTGATAATTATATTGTGCAAATCCTATAAAGTGAATCAACTTTACAAGTTCGAGTATCATCAATTGTCAATTTGTAAATGATTTAATACGTTCATCATTGTATAATATTATCAATGTATTCGAATGCGTATAATGATTATTCATCAGTTTCCCTAAAAGCTATATTACATTCTGAAATATTACTTTTGTATGACTGCTTGAATTATTAACTGCATAGAGACGGTGTAGTTTTCTGATTGAATGTTTTCCCTCTGAAACCCTCTTTTCTGACTCGACCAATTTTTGTCATCGCATATACCCCATGCTTGAAGCTTAATACATCCGCACACAGACGCACATACACGCGATCTCTCTCTCCATTTTTTCCGATCGACGGTTGCAAGGTCGTTTCGATTCGCTCATCTGAAATCGTTACGACCGATCGGCATTGGCCGAATGCTCCACTCGAGATGACTCAAAAACGTTTAAGCTGTACACGATGCCGGTCCAAGGGAAAGGATGGCCTCATTCTGGTCGCCGTGAAACCGTTCTCCTTGTCGTCGAGAGAACCATTTTGCTCGAACAGACGCTTACCAAGACGCCGAAAAGAGAACAGATTCAGGACGCGTGAATAGACCAATTACAATTAATCATCGACTGCTATGACGAGGCGAATCTAGCATTACGAAATAACATCTTCCCGTCAGCTTGATGAATCGATTTTATTAGACGAAAGCAAAGAAGGCATTTCTCTCTGCTTCGCGATTATTGTACCGTGATCGAGAAGTGCATATATAATACGAAGATGAAAAAGTTGGCGCGTAATCATTTCGCGTACGTTCAAGAAAATTATTGCAAAAAAATATGAGTGTTTATGATCGTGGAGAAACGTCGAAGAGACGATTTCCTTAATTTCATGACGATCGGAGCTCAGGAAACGAATACATTCAATCGAATCGAATATTGGAAATTATAGAATGTTTATATAGGCGCTATGTAAATGGAAAATTCTCTCTGTACGAGAAATTCGTGAAGAGGCATCGATAACGACCCCGCGGATCAAAATCCCTCTCTTGTTCACTTCTGCATGTGCACTGAACGTCGAACGGCTTAGCGAGGTGGCAGAAAGGTATATACGTGCATCGGAGCACCTGGGTACATTGGTTTTTGTTTGGTTTTTTGGATGGTTGGATAGGTGGTGGCGGGGTGCCGCCGGCCAAGCCGCTTCGCAGCTACCAGTGTGGTAAGAGTCCCCTTGGAAGCCTCGGGGGCTCGGCGCGCTTCTCTAGAGACAGCTCGGTCTCCCTCTATAGTATACCAGGTCAGTAGTATCCTTAAACACTCGTCAGACACAGCTCGATCCTTCGGACGACGATCGAGATATATCATATACCTTTTTTATCTCGTGCTTTCTCAAAATCTATAACACCTTTATTTTCATAGCTGTGCTAACATATATAAGCAAAATAATTGCGATGAGCTTCGAAAGAAGAAATCTATCCTTTCAAGAATTTTTATTCTCCTCTGGATGTTTGACCGTAGATGCAGTTTGAGACTTCAATATATTTTTGTTCGATTCAATTTATTTTTTATTTATTCTCCACTAATTCTAGATGGTAATATAATTAGGATATTTTGAATTCCAAATTGTTTCAAACGCGTCTGCTGTCAAATAATCTAGCAATAGCTTACGAGAAACAATAATAATTTATATGCAATTTATTTTGATTTTTTTTTATTCTTTATATAATATTTTTGAAATATAAAGTTTATCGAGATAAAGATTTATATATGAAATTCTAATAAGAAGGAAATAAAAATGAGATTATCGAACAAGCTGTTTATCACTAACATTATTAACGATATACGCGAAATAACAAGCTTATTATAAGAAGCTTACAACTAATTGTTAATGTAAAAAAGTACGCTTGTACGAATAAACCAGAGCTGGAATAGAAAAAAAGTGAAGACTTTTCCCAAACTAACAATAAGTTTTTCTCTCGGTCACGTGAGCAGTAGATTGGACAAAACATCGTTAACAATTCACTGGGGAAATATCGAACCGAACTGAAATGTTGCAACCTACTGACGATAAAACTACGGATACGTATCGAAAAACGTATCGTACGCGATCAAATCACGCAGCTATATACACACACTTGCGTGGTACGTTTGATACAATTTCCGGTTAAGGACTTTCATCGTGATGCAATTTGTCCCGAAATGGATACGCTGTAGACAGTGTGCCTTGTAAATTTTCAAACGGTGCAATCACCGTGCCGGACTGTGTTTGAAGCGAAATAGAATCCGGTTGAAACTCAAAATAAAATTCTGCTTTCATTTTTCAACAATATGGAGATAGTTATTTATCGTTGCTTCCATTGCGGTTAAAAATTCAAGTGATAGATAAATCTCTGTCAGTTTTACGCGCAGATCATTTTGACGGGTGAGTTATCGTTCTCCCTCTGTTCCAATGTATACGCGCATATACACTTTATATTCAAGTAAATTAAATAACGTGACAGAAGCAATACGCATTCGTAATAAGGAGAAGCTTCGGCAAAAAAAAAAAAGAAAGATTTTGATCGTTCGGAATGCAATAACCGCAGGAAAACCATGAAATTGGCAGTTACGATTAGCCAAGCCGGGTCGAGCCAAGTTTTAATTAAACGACCTCGAGACCGTGGAGATAGTGTTGGGAATAGATGGGAACGGATGGATGGAATCGAAACGTTTTGAATTTACGCCGACGAACTTTGAATGCTGTTGGCATGTTGCGCAAAGGAGGAATAGATTGAAACTTCATCGAGTGTTTTTGCCTGGGCACTTGAACCCTGAAAGAACCGAACACTTATATGTAACGTAAACATTTTTTTACCGCGTTTCATTAATCGCACAAAAATCAATTAGACATGCAATACTTACGAAGCGGTCCTTGCGTAATGTGTATCGATTTTCTAATTCTTATTCGCGATTAACACAAAATCTGTCGGAATTGTAATTATGTTTGAAATACGACCTGTTACGAGCAATCTTGCGCTGTTAAATTATAATAAAACTCGTGTTGTAATTACGATGTTACGGTGAAACTCGATGTATTTCCAACACTAAGAGCTAAGCTCCTTACGAACCTCTACAAACTTCTTGCGTATGTCGTCTGCCTTTTACGCTATGTGATATCATAATGTACGAAAAGCAGCATCTCCTTTCATCCCATTTTTCATCCGCTCTCGCTGTCACTCGGGAGAGCCGTAGATTGTGTATATCCTTTTTGTGTATAAGAAGCACGATCATGAAGAATCTTTCTTCTTCACCCTCCATCACGATGACTGATAAACGACGTTCCTTCATTGATCGTAATTTTATTTGCACATTGCGCATCACGAAATTCGACGGAGGTATCGAACCACAAATAGATAACAGTAATCAAGATTTGTTAGAGAACAAATATCTCACGAAATATTTGGAAAAATATTTTAGAACAAAATAAAAAAAATTCTAATGCTGTGTAATTATTTTTTTATTATCAGCTCGTTAAATAATTGATGATTTTATTAATCTGTTTATTTATGGTTTTTATTAACTTTTATCATTTATTACAATATTAATACTCTTTTTATTTAATCTGTGCCTACCATTTACATATATGTAATGACTGGCTTTTATGTACAGCGAAATCTGTAATATTAATAATTATAATTATTAATATTATTTTCGTCGTACATATAAAATTTGTCATAATTTGTTCCAAGCAAGCTAATGTAACAATGTAACGCAATAATATAGGAAGAAGGAATTAATTGATATTATTGGCTCCGACTAAGGCGAATTACTGATTTAAATCTTCTCAGATCGACTACACGGAGAAGGCGGATACATGAGCAGCCCTGAGCGTGGCGTCAGTTCCGGAAGCGGAAGATATCCACCCGGACCTTACAGTGCGGGTAGCAGCTACGAAGATCCTTATTATTCACAATACTCGGGCACCGTTACTCCGGTTATCGACGAAGAAGCCAGGTAACCAGAGTTTCGTGCTAACTTCCGAACTAATAATGAACCGCGATTGCACTTAATCGCAGCTCACGACGATTAAAGCGGGCACTGTGATAATAATTAACGAAATTTGCATATTCGAGTGATGATCTCGGATTTCCAATTTTCTTTTTTCCGACGATTTCCTCCGTTTGAAAGAAATCGGAAATTTGTCGTCGCAAGAAAAGTAAACTTTCAATTTCTGAGGTATTTAATTTAAAGTCTAATTTAGTAATTTTTTTATTTAATTATAAATTAATTTATTTTGAAATTGAGAATTTATTATGAAATTTATATGGATTTGAGAGAGATAGTTTGCTAAAAGTTTAATAATTTGCAAATTAATGAATTTATAAATAAAAGGAAATGGAGGAAATCTCTAGGATCCGTTGTATGCAAACATATATACATATATAAATTTTCATAGAGAGAAGGAGAAAAAGCAGCAGAGTTTATATAACCGATGACGAAAAAGAATATTGGCTATTTCATCACGATGAAACTCACTTCATTCGCTTTATTGGCATATACACACGTTTTATTTACTTAGTATACATATATATTTTATCCAAATATATCGAAACTGGTTGAGTTTATTAAAAATGTAAATATCTTTTCGACGATACACGCATATTACTGACGATCGCAGATTTAATACGGATAACATTGACATTTATTGTTTCGGCAAATTACTGGATGGAGAAATAAGTTTCCAAATGAATTCAGATAAATAACATAAATAACACCCTTAATGAGAAATCCGATGTAGCATATACCCAGTAATCGCGTAAAGTTTGTCCGCCGAGTGACATTTTTGCGTAAAGTCAAGAACGCGCACTGTCCGGGTGAATAAACTCCACTCACCCGGAAAGCAACCCTGCCCATCCTCATCCCCTTTCTGTCTGGTCACGAAGCCCTGGCCCTAGCTCGGCAAAATATCGTCGTCGTCTCTGTTTCCAACGTTCCACCCTGGACAGGCCGCGCGCAACCCTCTTTTTTCTCTCTCCTCCACTTGGATGTCTGATAGCGCGGATGTGTATGTCTGTTGTGGGTGGTGCAGCGATACGGAGCTGTTGGAGGAATCGTACAGCCTTTACGGCGTGAAACCACCGGGGCGTCCGCCGTCTGGTCCTCCACGGTCCCCGTTTCCTTCGGGAGCGGCAACCCCTTTGCCACCCGGTGGACAGGGCTACGACGTTACTCGGTACTGCACCCACGTGTCGCACACACACACACACACACACACACTACTCGCCTGTGTAGTGTGTTTGTCTTGCGTAGAGCGCCTGCCTGCCTGCGGAATAGAAACAAAGATTCGAGAAGAGGGATGAAACGAGAAAAGAGGGATGAAATATCAAAGCCAAGTTGGTTGTCTAGTTGGATGCTTATGAATGAATACAGGTTGCACGAGTGTTGTGTCGAGCGTGCTTCCTTCCAAAAGCAGGACAGTGGCGAATCCAGGACTCTTTTTTACATCAGCAAATGTCTCTCCTCATTCCGGGAATCGATTCGCATGTTTTAAAATACTTTTATTAATTAGAAATCTATTAGAACGTTGACTGATTTTTAAAAATCTGGATTTTCCACTAAAACGTTTAAATACGTTTAACGCTGTTGTCTTAGGATGCATGGTGAGAAACGTCAGGTATGAAAGACTTGAAACAAATTTCTTTCATATTTGATTGATCATAAATTAGATATTTATCAATTTTCAATTGTTGCTACTTGCAGACAAATGTCGTGGAATATATGAAATTGCATAAAATATGATATAATATTGATGAAAATAATTTTCTTCTCAATTTTGTAAGTTGATCCATTTTTTTTATATACGAAATTATATAAATCCAATAATATTTTTGATTATATTAACGGTGATAGATATATTTCTTTCGTTATAATAATGAATATTATAAATATAGAATTATTATCAATTTCTATTTTGAGATAACATGATCCAATTATTAGGATTCGTTTATATATATTAAAAAGTTGGATGAAATTTTTTTCCGCAGCTCGTTATTTCACAGATAAATGGAATATTTCCAGTATTTAATTGCTATTCAAAGCCTGGATATTAAACTGCAAACTGCAATATTGATCGGTATCTATCGCTATTCATTTATATAGGAAGTGGCAGCGTCACTTGCGGATTATTATACATCTTTCCTTTCTATTTATGCATTTCCTATTTTTCAACAAAAGCATCCACCCAATTTTACGTTATACGGTATCATCAAAGTTTGTCGAATAACTTATCAATATGATTACTTATGGGAATTTTATTTCGATTTTTTTATATACATATCGAGAGATTCGTGTTTGCATTTTCGAATAATGCCATCCCTTTCCAGAAAGAATCATCTACAAGTGCATGTTGTAGAATACTTTAATTGAGTGGTCGCGCAAGAGAAATGTCATCAATTTTATCGAGTTATTTCCGTTCGCGTGAGGCAAAGTTGAATCTATCAATAGCACGATTTAAACGAATCTGTGTCTGAGAAATGGAAGCAAACAAATTCATTATTGATATATATATATATATATATATATATATATATATATATCAATTGTTTTAATTTACAGATCAAACAATCTGCATAAATTATAAAATAACAAATAAGCTCAATATTTAAATAATCGATAAAAATTTATGTAAATAATGCTAAACTAAAAATATTGAAAAATTGATATTACATTTCGACTATATTATTATTAATTCGAAAATGTGATTATGATTCTCGTCTTCAATCTTTGCTAGTTTCTTCTCTAAACAATAAGATCTTTAGATTTATGTTTTTTTTCCATTTATCAGATAAAGACGTATTGTCTGTGTAATACTCTTATAAATTTTATTTAATTAAATCTTTACATTCTACATACTAGTGTATATAATATATCATAAATAACGCAACTACATTTTTATAAAAATTAAAGTAGGAATAATATATCAGCATAAAAACAAAATAGAAATATTTTTATTTTCTGTGAAATTTAATCTTTACATGATATTACACAAATGATAAAGCATATAAAGTATGCAATATCTCATGGATAATATGGGGATTATAAAAAATGCAGACTTAATCTTTAATTAATTTTTCAAATAGGATTTTATGTACAGTTAGATCTTGGTCTGTTTAATTAAAAGGAAAGTCATTATTTAATATATATGTAGTTCTTTAATTTAATATCTGCATTCTGCACGCGAAAAAATAAAAGTCAACAATTAATATGAAAAAAACGATATTTAATTTTTTTCATTTTTTTAAGAATTAAAATTATTGTATTAAATTATATATTTGTGTGTTAAAAAATATTATAATTAATAGGTGCTGTGTACATATGTTTCCTGCTTATGTTATCCATATTTTTCATATTTACATTCTATATATTGTACCATTGCAAAATAATATCAATTATGTTCTCCGCTGCTCAAACCCAAGTGTGTGTGTGCGTGTATGTATGTGTGTGTGTGTGTATTATGTGCCATATGTGTGTAAATATGCCAATAAGTAATTATGACTCTCAAAGATTGTATATGATACATATATAGAAGTATAACTTGCAACTCTCGGTGGAATGCAGCATGCCGACTAGCGATCGTAGACAAGAATGCATTGGTTATATACAGGGTGTTTTGCACGTACCACAAAAAAAACGGATATACACAACCACGTATCGTAAAATTATTAACATTCCTCCGAATATAAATTTAATGAATAACGTAACGAATAATTATTCGATACTTTCACGAATTCTTCACCATTTACAATAATTCATCCTGCAATGATGAACATGATGCAGTCAATATATAATCTGTATTTGTTGTCTCCTCAATACCATTTCCACAACAATCCGTGTCGCAAAACTCACTATAACGTTATATTTTGATTTTACATATAATAATTAATTTTATATAAGATCCTGCTGCTTTCCTTTACCTTTGCTTCGTTTTTGTGTAAAGATAATTAATTATTTAAATTGCATTGTATATATAAAAATAACAATTTCAAGGCGCGCGCGTAAAAGATATATTTCTTTAATCGGTAACATATAGATGTAAAGTTTATAACTATTAGAAGCATTATATCTAATCATTTTCACTTTTCACAAAATCTATATCCGTAATAAATCTTTATCAGTCACGAGAATGTTCGGAAGCTGTCACGAGCATTCTCGTATATATGAGAACTTTCTAGACGGAATTAATATACTCTACGATGGAACGAAATACATATCGGAAAACTGAAATGGATTCTCTTGTCGGTCACACAAATACTCGCACAACTTTACACCAAGTTTCGAAATTGACCGCCATGAGAATCACGGAAACCATCTGATCCGTCTGGTGCATCACGTATATCACCCTGTATATCATTTTATGTACTGTCACACCGTGACGTAGATTAGGCACTGCTGTCACTTGTCATGCAAAGCGATAGATGCACGTGATTAGCATCGTGTTATGTAACACATATTCGATTTCACCGACAAGAAATATGTATTATATATGTTGTATAAAAAAAAAAAAAAGAAGTTTCTTGCATTCTTGCAAAAACAGTTTCAACATCCTTCCAGTGAAAACGGATATGTTTACAGTCTATTTTCAGTTTTTATTATTCGTACGTTGCAATATAAAGTCTCTCGATCTCTTGCTTTAGAAATCAGATGATGCCATTTTACTAGATTACGAAAAAAATGATATTGATTATTTTAAATATCTGAAATACGTGATATAACATATATGTTAACATCTTTTAATATATATATATATATCATTTCGCCTTTTATTCGCTGTAATATCATTTATCATCATTTTACTTAATATTCAGCTTATCATCCTCATTATTAATATGACAATAACATGAATCATAGTTTAAGATAAATAAATCTCATTTGATGTCGAATTATTAGAAATAACTTCGATCAATCAGTCTTTCTGAAATGATTTAATAAATAATAATAGGTAACTCTTGTCCAAAGCTATGATTTTTGCAGTTTCCACGCGTCAGAATTACTCGAGTGACTCTCCTTTGGAAACATGATAGATGTTGCCGAGATGAACAATATCACTGGCACTTTTAACCGAGAATTGTCTGTCGCAGGATTAGAGTGGAGCACATGGAAAGACAATTGGCCAATCTGACCGGGCTCGTGCAGAAAGCTCTGACACATGCTCCGCACACCAGTCCATCGCCACGAGAGTACTTGCAGGTCCCACCAGGACGAGATCCTTACGCGAGAGCCGCAGGTACGCAAGTCCCGTCAAAGTCGCAAATTCCTTTTTTTTTCTAGGTTTTTTTTCTACATTTTTTTCATCTTACATGTCATAACACGTCGTTCTCCTTGGTTCTCGGTAAAGTATCGCGAAAAAATATCAACTTGTCTCTAAATCAAACAGGAATGATTTATTTCTTCTCATTGAGCTTGTCCGATTTCGACGTAATTTCCTTCTTCGAGAAGATAAATTCCAACGATTCCATCTTTCTCGATAACAATATTAGAAATTTACAAAGTTTAGCGCTTGATTTATTATCTATATAGGTGTTTTTATTCAAGAATTCTGGAACGGGAGAAATTCCCGTGCCATTCATATTTAATCTACAATCGAGAATTGACTGCGATCTCATTTTTTTTTTTTTTATTATATTCAAGAGAGAAAATTATTCTTATGGGATGGTAACCGACATCCAAGAAGAAATAAATTCGAAATATTCTACAAAAAAAATGACGTTTTATTGTATTAATAAATTTCATAAAAGTTTATAAATGAAAAATCATTCTCCATATTTTTGAGACAAGTTTTGTTTGTAGATGCTGTCACAGTTGAATCTTAGGAAATGTTTGTTTTGACAAAGACGATCGAGTTAGTGATGTCATTTCATTTAGTTCCTTCTATACATTTTAGTGCTTATGTTATACAAAAGAATTAGCGCATTCACTTAATTCACCAAGATAGTTTCAGCTAAGAAGCATATGAGAGACTGCTCTACACAGCTTATATATAAAGTAGTCTCCACTAATATTCATCTGTCCGTTTCATCCGCCTGTTCATCTATCCACTTCATCATCTTTCGACCACTATCAGAATCACGGTTCTTAACATCATCATGTAAATGCATCGGAATCATTAGGATTCCGTAAATGAGGCGGCTACGCTGATCAGCATATATCTTTTAATACAATTAATAATTATTAATAATTAATTGTTTCTTTGATATCAGATGATCGTAGAAAATCAAGAACATCCAAAAGAATGTAAATGTCAACATAATTTCACAAAAGAACCGTGCTATTTTATTAAAACTATTTTCCAATTATAAATATAGATAGAAAAATGAAAAATTGGTCAGAATTTTTGGCATTTGCATCATTTTGTATTTCCAATCTACGATTTGCAATAAACGTCGTGGTCGCCTTCTGGATAAGTCGCAATTCACCGAAACGACACAACTTTTTAGATATAAACGTGCATACGTATACATATGTGTGTTGCATACATACATGCATAGTTATACATACATATATATTGGAAGAATTTATGCCGTGAATTACGCGCCAGCAACAATATGCCACTATTCATACCCAGCGAGTTTCGAAACAAAGTTGAAACCTGTGAATGTTCGGGCGTATCGTTTAAACAACGCAATTCATATTTCGAGAGTATACATGTTGCTATCGACAGTAGCGTTTGATAAATTTTGATAATACAAACAAGGTACAATTAAAAGCAACGAATTACATTAATAAATTGCGAGTAATATGTTGAATGAATAATTAAGTTCAAATATATGTTGCTATTAATTTCTAACATTTATTTTATGTCGATTAAAATCAAAAATATAAAAATTATTCGAAAAATAAATGTTTAATTAACCTTGTGAACTCAATAGTTTTTCTCGAGCTTTTGCGAAAATTGTCGCGTGTAACAAGGGTAACTTTGAACGGTATATCGTTGCTCGGTGATACAGTCTCACGGACTGAACTCTCCTGAACTACCCTGCTGTACAACTGCTTTGTTATTCCGACTAACGCACACACCAGGCGCCGGGGACGAGTTCGACAAACATTCTAGCTCCAGCTCTGCCTCATTGCCAGGTGTGTCTCTCATCTTCTTCTATCTTCTATTCACCTCCGAATCATTGTATTACCGCTCTATTTTTATATATATATATATATGTATGCAAATATATATATATATATAAAATATGTTTATCTTATATTTATATCTACTTATATTTATATATACATATTTATGCATATTATATAGTTATCTTTACCTTTTTATCGCCGTCAATTAAACGCGTGTCCTTTAAAATTCAAGTGTCTCAACCTGCCGTTACAGATGACTCGTACTTAAGGACTGACGTTAAACCGCCAAAATTAGGCAAAGGTGCGCTTCAATATATGTTTCCTTTATATACACGCACTTGCGAATGCTCTCGCAAATTGCCGCTTGTCATCTCGCGTTATCATCGTTGTACATGTCTCGCACATTTACGTATTTCTTTTAAATTATTTTCCTTTTAATAATTTATTCATAGTTTTTTATAGTTTAATAGCACCGATAATTTTTTTTAATCTATCTATGCAATTATTTTTTTACTTTTTTTTAATCGTAATTATTTTTTAATATTCAAATCGCGATTATTTTTTTATTTGCCATGAAACTATGAAATGCAATTTTCATTTGCACGATGCATTCTTACATCGAAATCTTTACATTTTCATAATCGTTTTGTCCACTACCGGCTTTAGGGATGATTGACAGAAAACAGCTGTTTAGAAGTAGATATTACTCCGCCGGAACGATTACGATATTTGTACAATAAAGTTTAAATTTTCGAGATGGCACAATATTTGACGAAGGAGATACAATTTCCAAGCTGAATTTCTATTTTAATTAATATTTATTTAGTAAATAGAGAATTCTCTCTCTCTTCCAATTTACGAAAGCATCCATATGTACCTAAAGCCGGCGCTAGTTCCCATTTGATACACATACACACACACGTGCGCTTGTTACGCTTCTTACGCACAATATAACACGCAGAAATATGCTGATGAACATCTATTCCAGACAAGTCGGTGTCGTTTGAAAAGTCAGTGTCCTTCAGTGACGAGCCACCAGACATGAACTCCCCCAAACAACACTCCCCGCAACATGCAGGTAACGGCTAGCGCACGTCACGTTTAAACGAGCAAAAATGTATGCTAATTGTAAGCATGCTGTGAAAATATCGAATCACACATTCTTAGATCGCCTATCGAGGTAAACGTTTGCCTGAGCGCTAGCGTGATAACGCAAGAAAGAGTCGCTCTTATTATAATATAGCAGATAAAAAATGAGAGATTCTAATATTTTTGATTTAATTATATATAGGTCTTGCCGAAATAACAAAAACCTGCGTAATAGCTTAAGGAATGCCATTCGGGATTATGATGGGCTGTTTTGCAACGAGCAAAAATTGTATGCTAATTTGCCGCAATTAACATCGAAGAATGCATCTTTGAGTCTGCATTTCGAGAGATTGAAGTTTTGAAAGACCTATAATTAATTGAAATCTGTATTTCAAAATCTTGCAAAGTGTCTTGTCTGATTCATGCTCGATTTGGATTCGATTGATCAATCGTTAAATGATTCTTTTCTTTATCATTTGCATGAACAATTTATCCATCGATGATGGAAAAAAATGATATAATGTTTTAATTTAATGTGTCCCCGTAATGCGTTATTCTCCAAGGAATAATGTTGCACAAAAATGACTACATATGTCAAACTTGCATCATTATTTCGCCCAATTTAGTAAATCTTTATACAATTTTCTTTTAGCAATAATTTTAAATGAGCGTTCTAAATTAAAATAATTAGTTTCGGCTGCTTCCTACGATTAATATATATATTATATTCAGTATTCATGCAAATGCAACATGTTAAAAATGCAAATTAATCGAAGGAAGGTTCCGTAAAAAAGTGAAAACATAGTATATCTATAAGAAAATATCGATCCCTTCGCGATAGCGAATACTAACGCAATAATCTCTAACGCCTTCTCGTACGATTCTGCAATGCCTACCACGACTAGCGGACACAAAACCCACGAAACCGGCAATCAAATCCTCCACGTTGCCGAGGATGTCGTCGCAAGGTAAAATTTCCCCGTGTTTCTCTATTAGGAGTGGAATTATTCGGCAAAATTTTCGCATATTTGTAAAAGAGTCTATATTTTTTCCAATTTTTTTATAATTTTCTTCTGTTAAATTGTTATATTTTTCACATGAAGAAAATCATCTAAATATTTCTTTCTATAAAATACACTCATTTTTCGAAATTATACAAAAGTGAAATTTTAATTAAATATTCCGTAGGTATTGTATATACAATAGAATAATTTAAATATTTTGACATTCAATTGCAAAAAAATGGCAAATGTCACATTATCCGAATAGTTCCAGTTCTAATGTCTAATGCTTCTCCCTTATATGTGTCACGCTGTGTCTATATATGTTATTCATAATGGAGCGTCGTTCCAAGTCTTTGATATAATAATCTTCTGTCGTTCCGTCATTTCGAAGTTTTCTACTTAAACATTTTTTTTTATTCGTCTCCTGGGACGACACTGTATGGAGGGCACCGAAAACTTGTAAGTCCATTTTTGATAAAGAGTTGAGATGAGCGCTGCACGTCGACGTTGCTGGATTTAAACGAATTAATGTGTTTATATTTATTTCATGTAAATCGATTTTCAAGGTAAAGGCGAAAAAGGCAAATCGTTTATAATATAGGCAAAATGAAAAACGAGTAAATTAAGCATTATATACATATACAGAGTTTGCATGTAATTGCTCACTTTTTATGTAAAACTCGTCAGGAACACATGTATATAAACGAACCTCGCAAAAGTTACTTTGAAAAACAAAGTCGTACTGCATATTAATCATATTTAGTGACCAGCTAATGTTTATTCGACGGACAGAATTTTATCTCTCACTCTCAATGTTTTTCTTTTTGGTCTCTCTTTTTTGAAATTACATGCATAAGATTATATTAAAAAAAAAAAAAATCATGCGACTTTATCCAAACGAGAAATTCATACTACATCTCTCTTTTATTTCTTCTCATGTTTTAAATCATATTTGACGACAATAGTCGTTAAAAAAACGTTCACGATTGTGTGTGCCCTTCATATATATCATCGCATCGACGAACGATCGGGTTGTCTCGCTGAACGAAAACGACGAAAGACACAATTCATACGTTCCTATCATTTTACGGGACATTTGTGACGAATATGTATATACATTTCTTCGATTTCATTTCATTTCTCTCTCTTTCTCTCCGAGCGATACATCACGGTTGCATATCTGCCGCCGCCGATCGCTCGAAAGCGTCACGAAACATCCGTCTTATGCTCACCCTCTCACCACGTCCCTCGTAAATTCATCCTTTATTCATCTGACTCGGATGTCGGAACGTATTTTTATTTGCCCGCTGGAACGACGTTGCTTATCACTGTCACGTTGCATATCATGGGATCGGTTCATCTGGAATTGTCTCACGTGTACCTCTCGTGCACGCAAGAATAGATGCACTGATGAATCGGTCGAAAGAGATCATTCGATTCTTCAGAAATCACAATATCACTTACCTTCTAATATTTTTCTCGGAAAAATCGCAAATTCAATTTATCTTTCATGAGATGCCAAATAAATTGTTTTCAAGGAAGAAATTTATAGAATTTTACAATAAACACAAAAATATTGTGCATCTATTCTATGTCATTCTACGAATACACAGGAAAAATGCATGCCTTTTCTATAAAATAGAGAGCTTGGAAATCCAAGACGCGTGAATATTGAGAGCGTAAAGGCATTACTCAATTGTAATAAAATGTTGCTCAATTTTATCGTTAGTGAAAATATCGCTGCGATAAATAAAATCGACGCGTCTATCCGTAAAAATAATTAAGCTCTCGTAAGAAAAAAAGTAGCACGCGTTAGCAAAATATATGTCGCAAAGAGTATATCTATATAATATAATATAATACGCAACATACGCACACGGTCCTTGGCTTGAAACACCGACGAGATATTTTTTTATCCGCCAATTAGGTCATCTGCTGTGTCCTTTTTCCGCTCTTCCGCCGTGCCTTTCGTTCATCCGTTCAATAAATCGTGACAATAAAAAGTGACAGTAAAATTGTGTTGTCGTCGATCTGTTTAACCGTCCTCTCATTACTTAGGGCCCGCTCTTCTATCGTGCGAAATTGTCACGACAATAAGTGACGAACGTCAAGTCTAATCAGCTGATTGAACCACCGAAATTTCGCCGACAATTCATTTAGGCGTCATTGCCAAACTCTACTTGGCAAAGTGCAAGATACAAGAGGATGTATGATCCGGATGACAGTTTTATAATTACAATTAATCAATGCTAGAATTCAAAATTGATCAACCCTATATTTTTTCTCTCGAACAAATTCTGTACTAATGAATAAGAGAAGCTGATCAGATTGGATTCACGTCACGCTTTTGCTTCGCTACTCTTCGGATTTCGCACGAAAGAAGGCACGCGGTATGCGGCGCTTGAATCCTTTAAATGTTCGCGGAAATCTTCGGCGGGGTAGAAACTCAAGCCCTTAGACGGAAATGAACGATTGCAGAAAGGGACAGGCACAAGCCAACACCACCACCGAAACCGGCCGCTCTGGTGGCTGGCCAGTACGTCTACAGGGACCTGGCCCTCACGCCGGAGATGTACAATCAGCTGCGAGGTCTGCAGAAGAAGGCCAAGGACCTCAGGCAGGAAGTGAGGAACCTCAGACGCATGTCGCAGGCGCAGGCCCACACTGTGCGCGAAACCATCAGGGATACGTTCATCACGATTAGGTATAATAAAAAAAAATCATCTTGGTCGAGCGGTAGAAAAAAATCTCATTTTTTTTATCAATCTTATAATGTCACAAAAATATATCTGTGCAATAAAAATGTGTGATATCTTGGAAATCATCAGGAACACGTTCATCACGATTAGGTATAAGAAAGAAAAATAATGCCTTGTGCATCTTGGAATGGTAGAAAAAAAAAACAGATTTTTTTATAAATTTTGTCACGGAAATATATCTGTGCAATAAAAATATGTAATATTTTGGAAACCATCAGGGACACGTTCATCACGATTAGGTATAATAAAAAAAAAGGCCTTGTACATCTTGGAATGGTAGAAAAAACAGATTTTTTTATCAATTTTGTCACAGAAATATATCTGTGCAATAAAAATGTGTACAACATAAAAACATTGAACTCTACTGATTATTGTCTGTCCAGGGCTATGCTATTGTCAGGAGGAGACGCGGCCTGGACAGCTGGAGACACCGAGAAGATTCGACTGAGCCGCGAGGAAGACCTCTACAAGCAGGAAATGATAAGGCTGGAAAAAGATCTCACGTGAGTATCGTCATTCTGTGAGAGATGACGTTTAAACAGAAGGAAAGAAAGAAAAAGGAAACCGATTGGAAACGTCGTTAACAAACGTTCGCAAATTTCAGCGAGCTGGAGAGCACCGTGGAGGAGCTTCGCGGTAACGTGATCAATAGAAAGACGCGTGTCAATATGTCGGATGTGGAGAACATGGCTCTGATATTGAGTAAATCCAGGTAAGCCTCGCACGCGTACGCTTTCGATTCTACTCGAACAGAGTGTGCTGTCGCCTCGTTAATTCTAAATGTGTCGCTAGATTTACATCTAATCTCTGGTGACATTTATTTTTTTTTACCTGCCATATAAAGTAAGATTACGGACTGCATAATCAATTATTTCGAGGGTCGAATGTTTCTTCGCGTCTGATCAAATTTTAATTTTACCTTTCAGCAAAACCGTCGCTGACCTGAAGGTACGCTTCCCGAACCTGCAAGAGGGAATGAAGGGTCTGCTTAGCTCCGAAATGGAGAAGGTGGTGCGCGAGGAGAAGTTCCTGAAGGAAGAACCCGAACGATTGGAATCCGCGTTGAGACGTTGCAAGAAACTCACCGGCACGCTGGTGACGCTCAAACGGTATGTTTTTTTAGTATTACATTTTTTTATTATACTATTGACACAGTGATTCTAAACAGAATTTGCTTGTGCAATCGAAAATTACAAAGTAAATAATCTACGAGAGAATTATTAAAGTTGCGATTTACGTGACGAGTTTTACGAAAATTACTAAACTACATTTACCTTATCAAATAAGATCAATTTTTATATAGATCTTGAATAAAAATATATATTTATTTTCAAGTACCTTCAATTAAATTTTTAATGAAAGTTTTGCAAAATTTCAACCTTGCAGTCTTTTTACAATTGGGTTGATATAAGATTAGATTATAACGAATAAATAATCTATCAAGAAGAGCGTAACCGAAATATTACTATACTTTTAAACTATTCATTATAAATCATATATGACAATAAAGGCGCATATACTTCTTAGTTACATCTAAGTTGCAATTATAATTAAGAATCCAGTCGTCGTTATCGATAATTACTAAAACATGCTTTCTAATAATATAGCCGCTGTATAATTCGGACAAAGATTGCCAAGAAAATTAATCTAATAAGCTGACACAATTACTCATTTTCTTCCCACGAAGTATCTTTACAACAGGTATTTTCGATTGATATTCAGGCAATTAAATCGATCGATGTCATGGCTTCGAATCTTTTTTAGGTTCAATTGTGAACCTTGTTCTCTATAACACCTAATGGGATGCACACCTATCTTTCTCTAACTAACAAAATTCATATAAAAATTATAAACCAGTTGCACGATCTTCCTTGATGGATTACAAGGCAGCGTCCCAGCAAACACCGATATATAATTGTTACATTGCTATAATAAAACGGAATATAACAGGCAATATAACGTGTACGTTACATGTAACATCCATGTTAGTTGTAATTTCCCACTCATAGATGTAACATTTTAATATAACATATATTACATTGTAGTTATATTGTAATTATATACCAAATAGCACATTGATGTATTGATAATTCAGTGCTATCTTGGGATATAATGACAATATAACTACAATGTAATATATGTAATATTAAAAATGTTACATCTATGAGTAGGAAATTACAACTAACATATACGTTACATCTAACATGCTTAAGTATATAACATCTATATATTGTGTTTGCTGGGGTATAGCGACACATTGTTTCTCGATCTAACGAAGCTCGGTTTCTCTGTTGCAGCTTGGCGTCGGTGCAAGAGCAGCGATTACCAAACGCAGCGAGCGTAGATGCTGAGGAAACGCCGCCAATAACGCCAACGACAGCACAGCATTCCAAGGTAACCGCTCCTTTGACCCCGCTCGCTCGCTCGCTCGCTCGCTCTCTCTCTCTCTCTATCTCTCTCTCTCTCTCTCTCTATCTCTGATCTTTCTCTCTCTCTCTTTCTCTTCTTTCCCTTCTACCTTTCTCTCTCTTTCTCTTCATCTATCTACCCTCTATCGAGATCCATCCCTTTTACTCCGACCTCCTACTCCGATTTCTTCTTCGCTCGTCGCACTCGCGTAAAACGCACTTATATCCGGTTCCGGAAACACACGTCACCCTTCTCCACGTTGCATGAGTCTATCCCCGAGTTTTTCCCCCGATCGATTCGCGTGTCACGCTTAAACATCTTTCTCTTTCCCGAGGAAGAAGAAAAAGAAGAAAAAAAAAAGAATAATTGACGTTAGTTGCGATTGGAATTTCGGGTGGAATCTTTAGTCGAAAGAAATTTCCCGAAGGTCCTTTTTTATTCGGTGGAGAGTATCCTGTGGTAATCGTGGTCACGATTGATTGCGAACGACGCGAGTCTCGTTAGGAAATCGTTCGCTTCGAGGTGGTTGTTCGTCGGGTTGGATTTTCGCCGACGATCCAGAAAGAGGCCAGAAGAAACGAGGAAATTTCTATTTTATTCCTCATACAGTTCCCTCTTTGTTCCGGGCACATTTTGTCGTGTGGCACACTTTGGCACGGCACACACTCTGATCCGTCTGATGATCGGAATTTAGAATTAGATGGGCACGGATCATATTTAATGAATTCGTTATGAACGTGATATATGTTTCAAGAGAAATGTGTCAGATTTTCTCATGCGATCCGAGTGAAAATCACATGAAATAATGATAAATTATGATAAAATATTATTTTGTCGGTGAATTTCTCTCTATAGCGAAAATATGAAAATAAAAGAGATAGATGGCAGAAAATGCATTATTCATGTCGATTAACTTGAAATAAATTTTGTTAAACAATTCATTTTAATTGAAAAGGGTTACAGTTAATTACTTTACTACTATTAAAATTTGAAAAGGTAACCCTTTGATATTATATATTCTTACTAATAAGATAAATCAACTTTATATACTATTTTATTAAAATATTTTTAATAAATGTTGTCTAAGACTTTTTTTAAATACAATTTTCAATATAAAATTTCTCCTAGAACTTTTATTATCACTGCATTTCTAAATTGCGTGGAATAATAATGTATTACATAAATAAAAAAAAGAGACCAAAATTATTGAATCTGTAAAATGATGAATTTTTGTACGAATGAAAGACGTAACGCAAAGACTGTCGTAGACACGTTCAATGAGAGATGAAATTGTGATGGAGCTAGGAAACTACGATCGTGCCCATCGCAGCTTCTTGTTTCACCTCTGCGAGTTCATCCACCTCTTTGATATAACGGCAACATTACAATCTGCTATCTGTCAACAAAGTAGAGCGTCGATGAGATCACTCCACGCTTCGTAGATTTTTCTTGCCCCACATAAGAGTAAGCCGGTATGGTATTTTGCAGTGAGACGTGTATTATATATTATATTCCGACCACCGCTTACCCCGTATTCCCATTATGCTAACAAGCGCATGCAACGAGTGATATAGAGTTTTGTTCTGGTACATATATATAAATATGTCTATATAATCATATACGTAAAATAATACTTGTTTCTTTCTTTCTTTCTCTCTTTCTCTCTCTCTCTCTATCTATCTATCTATCTATCTATCTATCTATCTTTCTTTCTATCTCTCTTTCTCTTTGCGTACATATATGCATACTCGCATACATATCTACGTCATATTTACGTATATTGTATATACGTACGATAATTTGTCTAACGTAACACGTACACGCGCACTTTTGACGCGTCCGATCGAACGTTGATATACATCACTGCGATGCACGACATCGGAAGTAGAAATCATTATCAGAGTCCGTCTGTGTGACTATGGCCAATTATTCATTGAATTTCGACGTGTATTATAATTTTGAAATTTTGTCTTAATATTTCCACGTCGAACAATTATAATTATAGCGCAATTTTTACTATCACAATTAATGATAAAATTTATCATTAATGGTGCTATATAAACGTTGAATTTGTAATATTTGGTTCCTCTTGAGATTCTATCAAAGCACTTACATACATATATGTTTAATATCGTTAAATCTAAATTTGTGCTCAATTACATATAATGATTAATATCTATTACATTAATAAATTGTAGCACAAAAATTAATATTAAATTTTGGGAATTGAGATTAGTTGAAATTAATATTTCAAACATACGATTATCTGTAGTTTTGAAACTGTAAGTGGAACAATGATGGTATAGTTAGACAGACAAGGCGATTGGTGGCTATCAAATTGGCGAAAGTGCATTTAAATTGACGAAAAATTAGTTATACGTGGGTTTACAATAAAAATTTATTTGACAATTAAAGTTTTTCATCTCTCGAATAATATGGGTAGCAATATATAATAATTATTAGCGTTAAGACAAAGTTTTGCAACACCTGCGTTTTTACTTCATCATCCGATATGTTATAAAAGTTTCAATATTTTATTAAAATTAATTTTAAAATTTTCACCAATTTGAAGACAAGAAAAATGCATATGCGATGTAAAAATTCGCTTATACTCACACAAATCGACTTATATGCTTCAAAATTGGGAAAGAAAGTAACGCATAAATTGCAAAATTTTGTTGAATGTATATTATATATCACGAAGTAAAAATACGCAATTTAATGATAAACACAGATAAACATTTTTTTTTAATCGGATGAATTTTTTCAAAAGCCTCAAAATTATATGTATACAAATTGAAAATGACACGTGTTTTTCGCGCATCTGCAATATTTGAAATATAAGTAAAGACAGATTGATATCTTCGAGTGAAACCGCTGTCTTCGAGCAAGAATTTTATTTATCTCATCTGAGAAGCTAGCTTTTATTTGTTCCGGATCACTACAGTTGACACTATGAAATCTGAAACCATCTCAGGAAAAATCAAACACACATGCGTCATACATAAAAAAATACAAGATATATAATATTTAGAAATCATTTACGTGATGTGTATCTTGATAATACTTATCACTCATCACCCGTCATTCGGGAATCCGATATAATTGCATATAGCATTAATTGGAATTGAATTTATTGGTATAACAGCGTAATAATTTTACTTGTTATAATTTACTTAAATTACAGCACTTTCTTAATCAGCATTTATTAAAAAAAAAAAAAAAAAAAAATAATGCTTCTTAATATCATTCAAATATTTTCATAACGCTTTGATAAAATTATCAACATTAAAAGATATTCGTCTATATTTTTAATATTTTATTGTTGTACAACGATTAATCGTAATCTGTGAAAGTATGACAATTAATTTTGTACAAATTTTTTCTCCCAATCAAAATTGCATTATCGAATTTGCTCTGTTTTTCATCGCATTTCATTATCGCGCAACATTGTTGATACACATTTGTACAAAAATGGTTATTTATTGATGTACAATGCAATGGAAATCCATTTAGCAAACACCTGGCAGCAGTGACGAACTCGGAAAATGCAACATCTTCATTTCAATTCGTATGAAATACCATCGATTTTCCATCTTTCCCATTTTTTCTTCATACACGATCCTCCCAGGAATAAAAAATCGCATACGTGGACATGATGATGGTCCTTTCCCTCTCTCTTCTTCTCTTTCTCTTTCTTTCTTTTCTTTGCGAATTCTCTATCTCTTTCCTTTTTCCTTTTTCTCGTTTTTTAATATCATTTTTTTACGGACCAATAATGCAGCATCGCGTACAAGTATTTTGGGCGGAAGTCAAAATACAATTCTCCTGCAACTTGCGTTTCTCTCTCTCTCTCTCTCTCTCTCTCTCTCTCTCTCTCTATCTCTCACTCTTTCACTATCTCTCTATCTCTTTCTCTTTTCTCTTTCTGTGATATGGATCCCATCACCTTGTTATCCATAAAACCAATATTTTCAATGTTTGCTGTGCCCCGATAGTATAGATATTTTTTATACATTTAGCGCATGGTGTGACAAAACATTCGTAGCCGTCGATGCTTATCGTTCATGAATATATCGAAAGAATCGAATCGCTCGGATCGGCTGTCTCGAGCTTCTCTTTACCTAGTTCCTTCACTTTCTCTCTCTATCTATCTATCTATCTATCTATCTATCTCTCTCTCTTTCTCTTTCTCTCATCGTCATTCACTCGTTTCGAGAGCGATTCGAAGATTGCTTGAAGAGTTGGCGATGCAACGTTCGGCTAAACGTCGCGTTGCTTTAATTATCTTCTATAGAATTGTATTAAACACTGCTTACTATCCCATAAAGCGATTTCGCAGTCGCGCATCTCGCGCTTTGCGCGCTTTTTTTTATCGATGAATGTTTTGTTTCGTTGATGAAACGAAACGAGAGCACGTTAATTATGTTATTCACAAAATCGCGCAAAGCGCAAAAGATGCGAAGAGCTATAAAATCGCTGAAAGATGGTATAGAGCGCAGATCGCTTTTACAATCCTCGTCTTCGACGACGCTGATCACGATGTTTTGTCAGATCATTCATAAGTGTTAGTTGTGATTCAACGACGGAAATTTGCGTCGCGCGAATCTTCCCTTTTTTTCTCTTTTTTTTTTATCGGACATCTCGTATCGATCCGACCGGCAACGCCGATCAAATTCGATGTTGCCGAAATGAAAACGAATCAAACGAATCGCGTCTTTAATAAATAATCAGCGAAAAGAGAACGCTGCTTTGACGAAGATCTCTCTCTCTCTCTCTTCGCACTTGTTTTGCAAAAATCGCGAGCGACGCGGGTTACGCAAGCTATTATGTATCAGAAAAATCAAAAAAATAGAAGGAAAAATGAAAAAAAAAATATAAGAAACAGGTTACAGCCTTAACAGATAGTGAAAATAATATTAATTTTTTAGTATGGCTGGAAGTGGAGTACTAACTTCAAGGAGGCCATACAGACCAGTCACGAG